ATCAGACAATTCTTTGTTTTAAATAAATTTATTTGTACTAAGCGCTTTTTACAATACATCATTACACATCAATTTTGTAGAAATACTTATTTTATATAAATTATAAATCCAGATATATTTTTTTACAATGAAATTTGTAACAGTGAGTAAAAATATTATTAAATTAATATTTATTTTGATACTTTTATAGGAAATTATGCTTTCTAGACTTGCAATGCACGTTATAATGCGGAGGAAATAAAAATCAGAGCATTTTTTGTAGGTTCTACGAAAGACTTCAAGATGCTCGCGATTAATTCCGCTTAATCCCATCCGTATTTGTAAAATCATTAACTATTCATAATTATTGTGCGATGTGCGTGCGTGGATGTTGGGACGCAAATTCTCGTCATCCGCGGAATATTTTAAGAAATACATTACTATCAAAAGAAAACATGTTGTTACTGTTGTTGTTAAAGATAAAGGAAAATGTTACGTTGTTAAGTCAAGTACGAGATATAATTATCCTCACAGAGTATTGGCGCGCCATATTCGAATGTATTATGATAATAATGGAGCCGGCAGGGTCGCTCGAGTTTTTACGTGCTCGAACATTCACGTAATTGATCTTACACGTTCGGATATATTTGTACGTCCATTAAACATGTGTAAGAAAAACGTGTAGTTTAAAATCTTTGGAAAACTTGTTGTTTTTCGTAAAACTTGATTATATATATATATATATATATATATATAGATATTAAATTTGCTTTATTAAGTTATATTATTTTTAATAATAATCTTTTAATTACTTTAACTTATTTAACTTGTTTATAATTTTACACATATGTATATATAATTTGTAATAATTTTATAATAATTTTTTATATTTTAGACATAATGGGAATAATTATTAAATTTGTGAGAGAATTTATATACAAAACGGGTAAAGCATAGAAATACAAAAGATGTTCGAGCCGCTTATTAAAAATTGCAAATGTAAATACACGCGATTTGAATACTCCAAAGTCGATTACGCCAATACTGCCAGCTCCAAGCTATTATATATGCCATATGATCCTAATTAAACTTTTAAAATTAAGATCCTTATATGCATGAAATCTTTTTCACATGTGGGCTCTCATTTCTATACCAAAAGCTTCCGTGTGAACGTGTGAAAAGGATTCAATCCTCTTATGGGTCTAAATAAGGTGTAAGACAAGGATTTTCGAGTTGAGTGCATTCCTTGAGTGCATTTGTATGCGATTGCCCAAGCGAGAAAAATTTTCCACATGTGCGATTCCTTTGTGCTTTACGTCTTCGCTGTTATAAACTCCCAATGTGTGCACTCGTAAGCTTGCACCTTCCGATTAAGTTAATCTACTCGAGCGACCGTTCTCCACGAATGCAAAGTGCCCCTACTGCATTTCGGTCATTTCCCGTTGTACGGTGTGCGCACTCGCAATCTACCTACGCGGTATCGCTCGAACTTATAAACTATTTGCCATGTGGCGAAGAAAAAGCTTTTCAAATATGTTTACGTCAACAATAATCTTCTTAATCGAATGGAAAATCAAGCATTATCAAACGGCACGGTTATTTACGTCGACGCAACGATTAGTGGCCCATTAACTTAATTAGCTAATAAGATTAATAGAATGAAATAATCATAAACTTTGATTTATCGATCAATCGTTACTAAACACTAATGGAAAACGTGAGAATTGATGTGAATGTGGAAATTAATCCTGCGAGGAGGAATTGTAACACATGTTCCTTGTCGCTGTTTTCAATATCGCTCAGAGCGCAATTAACTTGAGCGTGTATGAAGCGTCTTGAAACTGCAAACGTTGCGGACGTTGCGATTTAATGATTAATTTTATATGTGAATATATAGATATCGTGGGCCTTTATATCGAATGTGATGTTAAAGCAGTCACTATTGATCATGGAGCAACGTTCTCCAGACACTGCCTAACTTTGAGCTGGTTTTTATCTACGGCGAGGTGACACGGTGATACAGCCTGTGAATTGCGAAAGAAATTCAAGTCGACTACAGAATGATATAAATCACTTTACATTTATCAGGCGTTTCCTTTTTTATTCCATCTCATAGGTTTTATAATCGAAGTATAGTAATAACATCTCCGTGCAAAAGTTTGTTTCTTGCGAGACGCAACTTTATGCGAATAGAAGAATGAATGAATATGAAAGTGTTATAAACAGAAATTAGATTGCATTAGCGAAAGTAACATTGCACAATAGCAAAAAAGATAAATTAACACACTGTCATGGCTTATTTCGAGCTATTAATTAATTTCAAACTTTTTAATTAAATTAACTTAAAATTAATATAATTAACATGTTAATTATATTAAAAAAGATAAAGTTCGCGATATTACAACATTCAAAAAACATTCAAATTGTGGAAGCGTAAATTCATAAATTGACTGCGATTTTAGCAATAGCCAAGATTTATGAAGATTTATTTTCATCGTTGAGGATGATTCCAAAATAGGACCGAAACGTTCGGAAGTACTTATAATTAATGGATTATATGGATATTTAATAACACTATTGAAATTTGTATGCATTAATTATCGCGTTGACTCTTAATCGTGTGTGAACTTTTCTTATTAATTTTATTGTTTTGTTTGCTTATAAACTTTAATGTTGCAGTTTACAGGATTCCTATTACTTATAAATTAGTTTGTATTACATTTTTTTTATTTACACTGAATAATTCTAACAATATTTTTTACTAATAAGATGCAATATTATCGCTAATACAATTTAAGCTCTCATTATCGATATTGCAATGTCAGTACGTACAAACTTGAGTCATACTTAAACGATTATTATATTGTAAAAATTTTCAAGCTATAAAATTTCTTTGGCGATACTCGCATTTAATTCACAAAACTAAAGCCAATCAAGAATGAAATCTTCTAATTCTCTTACTTACATAATTCA